TCTGTATTTGTAATCCTAGTCAACACAAAAATATAGTCAATCCGTAAATTTAGTGGTGATGCAAAGTGATTACACATTACAAATCATAAATATGCAAGTAGTCTACATGCAACTGTGTTACGCTGACTTATGAAAATATGCAAGCCCTCTTTTACATGGTTTTCACATTACAACCACATTCATTTTTTCATGTTTATATTTTAGGCCAGATTTTGAATTGTTTTTTTTTTTTTGCGTGCTTTCTTTTTATGTGTTTGGTATTCTTATGAAAATAAAATGAAAGAAAACCTAAAAATGACCTCAAATAAAATGCAGTTCATCTAATCGTCTTTACAAATCTTCTTAATAGTGCTAATGTGTTTTTAATGTATCCTCAGTATATGTACAGCAGAATGCACATATTATAGTTTCACCCTGCAGTGAAAATGTCCAACCACATTCCAGGCACTTCTGCAGGACGTTTGGATGTTTCCTCTGGTTATTTGTTGCTTGGTGGTTGCTTGTGATGGACTATGCTGCCATGTGATTAACTACTGACCTGTCCACGGTGGACCCACCTCTCGCCCTGAGACACCCCCCACAACAAGGACGCACAAAGAATAATAGGGAATAGACAATGGATGGATGGATATAAATATAGCCGCTTTAACCCCGGGGCGTCCAGTCCTGAAATGGCTGAATTCCCTCATGTTATTCAGCTCTGCAGAGACCTGGAAACAATACACTCGTTTTATTTGGGTGTGTAGGAGAAAGGGTGCATCTAAAAGTTTCAGGCTAGTAACTCTCAAAGGACTTGGGCATCCCAGATTTAATGCAACATAAAACAGAAACAAAACATTTGAACATCTTACAAAACGGCGTTTCCCCCAATCTGTGACAAAATTGAAAATTGCCGTTTACTAAAGTTTCACATTCAATCTGAGGGAGCTAGAACAATTTTGCAGAGGAGAGCGGTTCACATGTTTATGGTCAGGGTGTGCAAAGCTGATAGGCGTAACCTAAATGGCTTCTGTGACTGCAGGTGTAGTTCTAAACACAATATGTATTGTGCCATCAAAATCAAGTAAATGTGTTACTTTGAGTTGTTATAGCATGTTGTATGTGTCAAACATAACATAAAGGAAATATGACTTCACAATTTGGCCTCTCTCTCTTTATAAAGCTTCTGCATTTTCCTACACTCCACCTTCAGTGTGTCGTCACAACAATGCTTATCCTTTATGCCGTTTACAACCATCCTTACGACTAGTTGAACTGAGAAGTAGTTTGTATGAAGGGCTTGATCAATGGGCAATTCCACAGAGTGTTTGCTAATTGCTGCTGCCGCTAGTCTGATGGAGCCGAGTCAGGGAGGCGTGGGGGAGGAATGGAAAGTACTGCAGCTCTGTGGAGAAGTTTTGTGGAAGTAGGCGCAAATGTTTAGGCACCCTGGATGCCTGTCAGGAGAAATTCAAGGATTTACTTATCACACTTGCATGAAAGACTCAAAGCAAAACTCCAGGGAACAAGGGGACAACTTTTTACGATGATATAAAGCTCAAAAAAGTTCATACTACATAATCTCTCCCCCATAACTCTGAAAAGGAAGCAAGATATTTCACGAAGAAATAAGCAGATTTTGCAAACCTGAGTAAAACCCATACTCTCAAGGTTACGTACACTGAATGTGTCCTACCCATGCTCTTTGTATTAACTTGCCTCTGAATAATTTCCAACCATGCTCAAAATGTTAACTTTCAAAGCCTCTTTCTCCTTTATTCAAAAAACCAGTTATTTTGTGATTTTAAGATTAGTGCCATGAAAAAAAAGTGAAATAAATGGTCCGATAAAAAGAAATAAAAAAAAATGTAACACGTAAAGGTCAGTTTGTCTATTAATAATTCCTTCACACACATGAAAACTCCTCTCAGACATGTCCACATCGTAACCCGTTGTCGAATACGCAGCACAGACAATCAATGGATTTAGGTGGGAATTCACAGCAGCTCATAAGACAAGCAGCAACCAGTGGCACAGCCATAAATATATCTTTGTTATTTTCAGCTTTGGCTGAAGTCTGTATTCTCTAGTTGGTTCTGCTTGTTTTGGTTGTGCCTCCTGGGTTTTTCTTTGACAGGGAATCGTTACATGTTGCTGCTGAAGAGTTTCAGAGTCGCAGCACTGTCTACCCCATTCACACAGAACATGAAATATTTCCCCGCTCTGTCGTAAATAAAGCGCTCCCCACCACCACCGATGACCTTGTGTCTGAGCTAATATACTGTATTGTTAATTTGTCACGAGGTATGAAGACACATGGTGGTGCACATGCCAGAATGGAACTGACAGGTAACCCCCACAATGCTCTGGAAAGCCATTTCACCCTCTAAAGCTGCAACAAAAGAAAGCAATCACGCAGCCCTGTTTTGCCAGCTCTTATGCAATCATTGTCCTGTGGGTGAAAAACGGCCTCCATCATGCCACAGCCCAAACTAATTACTGGACTGGCAGGTGCTGAATGTGTCCCTCAATCATGAAATGGTCATTACCACAAAGCTCGCAGAATCAGGTGAAAGAGAAATCATGTAGAGTGATGCTCCCCTAACTACACGAACACAAATTCCTGACGTCTTTAGAGCAGCCTGTCTTTTCTTATCATCTAGTTAAAGAGGGAATGCCATCAAATTTTAAACCCATAAAACCTTTAAATCTTAAGAATCTGAAACATAAATAAAGCATAAATCGACTTCTCCGTTGCTTTTCAACGCAGATTATTTAACACATCAAAGTTTGTGATATGGCAAGGGTAAATAGCTGACACAGGGAGTGAACAGCCAGACCAATGAGTCCACTAATCATTTAAGATAAAGACTTTATTTAACTATGTCTTTTTATTTCTATATGTACTCTGTCAATATAAAACATCTACTGATGTACCCAGTTGACAATTAATCAATAACCCTTTCCAAACTTTCTTGCTTCATTCATAAACAACCAGTTAAGGTTTTCTCAACGCCTGAGCCACACGAGGGAGAGAGTGCTTGATTAATTAGGTAAAGAGACATTTGGGCCCAAAACCACGTACCTGCTGATAGAATGAAAGAGTTTGACTGGTATACTGCTGTTCTGAATATCACCTATCCTGTGATGTTCTGTCAAAACCAGCGCAAGGTGGAAACCTTCAACGGGCCTGACTCCTTCCATCACCAAGCCAGCTCATACATTTTGCTATAAAAAGATATTTCACTGACATTTAAATACCATTCCACCCACATCATGCTGCACAATGCAGAGGAAATCCTTAAACTGCACCTCTTCTGTTACTTCGAGCTTCCAGTTATATCAAATGCTCGCCGATTTTAACAGCTCGCTTCTTCTTTTTTTCCTCTGAGTCACAAGCCCCTGAAAGTCCCATTTAAGTTTATCTTCTACGGTCAATCTATTTAACACTGTAAGCATGCCAAAAGGGCTGGACTGAAAGTGTCTGGGGAAATATCAGAGGCAAGGAAGACGTCCAATGATGCTGTGATTTATGGTTTCATTACTGCCTCCACCAGGGGTGATCCCTGTGTGAAGCTCTGCTCCAAACAAACTGTAGATTAAAATTACTTACATATAAAAAAAAGCAGTTGTCAGCTACAGAGGAGTACAACATATACCACCCCTCTGTTAGTCAACCTTGCAATTTGGCACATTGTAAAAGGGATCTAATTGGAATATATTATTCAATTATACAGGCAAATACTGATCTAACGGAGCTATTTACATAGGAAACCATGTCTTCGGTGCCCTGCTGAGCTGTCAAGGTTGCACTCAATCATATATCACTTAAAACTTTACAGGGAGTAAAAGAAATATGCCAACTCCACAAGAGGCAGCCATATCTCATTTAGCGTGGTTTTCTGCACATAAAACATTCATGTTATGAATCACTTTTAATACTGAAATACACACAGGGACTCTATGGGTAAAACGAACAGAGGTCTTTTTCTGCGTCTCTGAAAAACAAGCTCATAAACTTTACAAAATTAAGTTAGAGGATAAGGAGTACTTCATGTATCTGCAATGGGTGGTTGAACAGAAGCTACATATCCTAGAGATTTTAGTTTCTAAGTGATCTACGTGTTAAACGATTCTTTTGAGGGCTAACAGATACTGCCATTATTCTGATATACTGACTCACATGTCGATCAGCTAACAAACCTTGTTTTGGTCTGAGATGAACTGTCTTATTTTTGTCCTATTTTAAATCCCAAGAACTATCGGCGGACTAAAAAAGGGAAATGTTAAATTTTAATGCTGTGTTTTCAGTAGATTGATTGCCTCAAACTTTCTCTTTACAGAGTTCAATTTATACATTTTGAAATCAAGATCCCACTTTGGCTGAATGAGGAGTCCTCATGTCATCAAGGCTTTTAAGGTATTCAAAGAAGGCTCTAAATAGACTGAGGACAAAAAAAAAGTATGTCAGTCATTTTAAAAATATCTGAAAATGATTAGAGGAATGCTTCTCTTTAATATGGTTGTGTTAAATAAGCTTTATTTAGAGTTTTCTTTCAGTGCTTATGTCGTCCTTTACAATTAAGGAATAGTCCAGTAAATGGATCTGTCTGAGGTCATTAGCAAGAGGTGACCATGTTTTGTGTGTGAATTTTCTATAGTGTGAAGTTGCATATTAAATAAAGAGGTCTTCTCCTGAAAAAAAGAGTAGTAGCTACTATTCCTCTAACTTTGTCTGGGGAAAAACTAATGACTACAGTAGAAATTCACCTGTACTAATTTACAGTAGATTTACCCTGAAGCAGAAGAAGGAATTGGTGAACAAAATATTTTGAGGTTTTACATGATCCCCCCCCCCACACACTTTTGCAGTTTTAAGGCACTGCTGCTGTGTGTGGCTGCAATTATTTAATATCTTTGAATAGCAAAACATTCCTTGGACTGTGAGGTGTTTATATTTCATTTTAAAGTGTAAAAGCTGTGAAATGATCATTAGTTATGGCTAGAAAACAGAGCCTCACCTCCACACGGAGCTTCCTCTCCTCTTCTTGATGCGTCAATGAAACCATGCAGCAAAATCCCTGAAAAAAGTTTGAAACAGTTATGACTTTATGTGGACTGTGTATTGACTCTATAGTAGCTAGAAAGCATAAACACCAGAAATTAAGGTTTAGTAGGAGTCACCTGCTGAGTTAATGTTTCAGTTTTGGCCTCTAAAGAGGATATAAGCAACTCAAAATTGCCATAATGGATTAAAGGCTCAGGTATGATTTTAAACAAAAAACATTCCAGGTCTCATTGTTTAATCTTGAGTTTAAACTAAAAAAAAAAAAAACATATCTTGACAAAATTTTTATATTTAAAATGTTTGTTTGGCAAATTAACCGTTTCAAAGGATTGTATCTAACCTAAGGAGGACTTTAATGGGAGACAGAGATGCCAGCTATGGTTACGTTTGGTGCACAAACTTTAAAAAGTTTCTTAGAATTAATTCATTTTGTTTCAGCTTATTTTACCACCTTGACTTGCATTCAAATCATGTGGAGTGTTGATATTTTGGAGGTTTATCTCCCATGTGTTTGGAGTTAAGAGCTTATTTGGTGATATTCCCTTTATTGCATCCACTCAAAAGCTGAACAATTAAAATTGACCTTTTATTATTTACTTAGTTTTTTTCATGGAATCAGAAAGCCATTACTCCTTTAAAAACTTTGAAAATCATCTCAAAACTGGGTTGTATGGGAACTAGAAAAGCTTAATATCTCATGTTTACGGTGTTGGACCCAAATGCAGAGCAGACTGAGGCGAAAGGTAGGTAGAGAGGATTTAATGAAAAAGTCAATGAACAAGAACTTACAAACTGGGAGATCACAGGGAGCAAGAATCAGGTACAGGGAGTCGAGCACTATGACTGTAGAAAGGAGTGAGAGGAGGAGAGGTGTATAAATACTGTGAGAGCGACGCTGCAACAATACACCGGGGCGGATTAGCTAACAGCTTGCAGGTGTGAGGGGAGAGAACAGAAGACAGACTGAAGAAAAGAGAGAGACAGAGAGAGAGGGAGGCAGAGAAAAAAGAAGATACAAACTGGGGAACTGGTTAATCAAATCCAAATGAATCAAAAAGTAGGGACAAGAAATAAATAATAAACATAAAGTAAAATAATATGGCTGATCTCATCAAGTAATAAACACAGAATGACAAATGAACAAACCCAGAAAAGTCCCAAAACAACCCAGAATCTTGACAAATTATCACAAGATTTTATATCCATAATTTAATCTCTCTTAAAATTGAAGCTCCATTATTCATCATTTTTATTTATTTTTTTTGCAATGAAATTTGACTAGACATTCAAAGCTAATTGGCCTAAGGCATTATAATAAGTTTGAGCAAATATATTATAGTATAATGGTCTATTTCTAGCTGAAAATCAACGTTATTGGTTAAGCAGCATTGCATTTCTCATCAAATATATCACATTGTTGCTTCGTAATCCTTCATGTGGAGGTATGTTTTGTAGGAACAGTAGCAACATGCCACAAAGTGTCTTGTTCCTCATTAAAATTTCAGTTATCACAGTTGACATTAATATAACAATGAGATATTATAATTTCACCACTTTCTGGATCTACAAAAGATGCACCACTTGCAGTTCTGTTTTAATCAGCTTCACATGAACAAAGCGGATTGATCTGCAGTAGTTATTCTGTAAAGCACGTTGTGTTGTCATGAAATAAACATTACACTTTTTGTCATCAAAGTGGAAATTCTGCTTTGCAGAAAAAATAAACATTTTTTCAGAGAACTGCTCATTAAGTGGGTAAAAACACCAGACTGTCTCAACAGGGCCCAGTGAATGTGCTGCTGTGAAACAAAAGGCTTTCCTGAGTTCTTTTATTTATCTTTTCATTGCGCTAAACTGTCAGATCTTAAGGAAATTTATATACACAAAAAATAACTTTGGTGATAAAAAAGACACTTGTTTTAAATCACAGTGATACTGAAAAATAAAAGGTGTTTATTCACAAATCAGAGCCCCATTGTATTAAATTGATGCCAATGTTCTTATACATTCTAGTGTTTAAAGTCACAGATCTCCAAGACAAATTAGACGAGTTCTCAGTCAATTCTGGTCCATTTTTAAAGCATAACTGCTAAAGTTTAGTGACTATTATGGATAATTGGTTACAGTCAGGCTCTACACCTACAAAACCAAAACGATGCAACATTTGAAAGTTTTCTCGCATTCTCCTTCCTGCTTGTGCTGCCTTTTATCGTTTCATTGGGATTCAGAATGAAGCTTTGACTAGGCCCTTTCTAATGTTTGTGTTCAGAAACCTGATGCGATAATGATTTCTTATCGAGTGTTATCTCACAGTCTGAGGCATGATGCTCTCCTTCAGGAGTTTCTGTCAGAGAGGAGAATTCATTGTTATAGGAGATCACACTGTACCTGATTTAATTATCTCCTCATTGCACAGATAACCACCAGCTTCAAATTTTGATCTGTGAAATACTTTGGACAAGCCGTAATGGTTTTTTTTTTTTTTTGGCTAAAAGACTTTTTTCCCCCAAAACTTTATTTACCCAACTCAAAGCTACCTCCTGGACTGACGCATTTCAATCATTTCCTCATCTTCTATTGAACAACGTTGTTTCATCCTACTTCTTACTTTTGCACTTTCAGCAGTTGCAGAGAACTTTCTCCTTCCAGCACATTTCTCCTTGCATTGGAAAATAGTTCATTTAGAAAGTGATGCTTTTACACAGCAGTCAGCAATCAGGCCTGGGTGTGTCATGACATTCCAAGAAAATAACTTGTTATTTTTGGAAAAATCTTGTTCTTCTTTCTTGGGCTTTTCGGTTGTCAATTATATATTAAATTGAGATGCTAAATGGTGACGGCAAGGATAACATTCCAAGTGAAGGTGAGACTCCTGCTCGGTATAAGGCATGCAATGACAAGCTAAACAGACACATTATCATAACATGCAGCATGATTTAGCAATGATTTGTTGCTCTGCTTCACGAGACTAAACTGGTCAAGTACGGTCCCTTAAATTTTTTGCTGGGTTTTTTGTTTTGAGAAAAAGGTCCACAAAGTACCACACTATATAATATTTATTACTACAGTACATGCAGTGGTTCATTAAACATTTTAAACCCAGACACACACACACACAAAAACAACCATCAGAATTTTTTCAATTTATTTTTTTTTTCAAGCAAGTCTTTATTTGTTTATTTTATTCATTGGTTTTCTATTTTTTGCATCATTAATGTGTCAATGTCATTTTTGTTTCTTTAGAGAATGTTTGAATGTTCTTGGAAATATGTTTAGTTGGTACAGCAGGTTTTTGAGGAAATTCTTAGTTCTACATACAGTTTATAGTTTACATACACCAAATAAAAAGACTTATAAACCTTTTTTCTCTCTCACTATCTGAAGTTAAATCAGATCAAACTTATTTTGCTTCAGATCAAATAAAAAAAAAATCTGTTTGCTATATGCCACCACAATGAAATAAATACCTCAGAAATGTATTTAAGAATTATTATATTATGATATATAGAGGCATGTTAACTCTTCATAAATGCACACGGGATAAGAAGTTCAGGTCATAATCTTCAAAGAACAACAAGCAGTCATTGTAAAGTTAGCTGTTTGGGAACACGATGGGACTAGGTATTATTTTATTATAAACAATTACAAACTGTCAGAGGAATAAGGTCACAGCATTAATATCAGATTACAGTGATATTAATGCTGCAGTTTGCTCCACAGCCTTGTTTTACAACAGTGCAAAGTCTTCTGTGGAAAGAAAAACTGATGCAACATAACAGACGATAATAGTATCTGACATTCGAGCAAAAAAAAAAAAAAAAAAATCCCATCATGCCCGCTGAATGGTAGTATATGACATCATACCATATAAGGTTTATGTTATCTATTACTCATGTGGATATTAGATTACAGCTTTACTTTAAAAAATGTCAGAGCAGTTACTTGTTTGATCACATCCTATGAGTCAGATGAGTTTCACAATGTGATCAAGTCGTCTGGCTTGGGAGGCCATTATTACACAGCCAGCAGCAACAGAGATGTTCCTCTGATGGGGAATGGCACTCGGCTGGGGCTGTATGCATAAGTACTTTCTGTCTGCGACTTCAGAAGGTCAGTGTTTGCTGCAATAAGACGCTCATTCTTTCAGAGTGGGAAAACCTTCAGCGCGAGGTTATGTTGCTTTTCCATCCCCCTCCATTTAGCCCAGAGCAACGGATCCCACAGACACAGAGGACGCATGTAGGCATGCCTCGCTGTGACAGCTCCGTCTGGACTCGGCACACGGATCCTCTAATGATCACAGAGCAGGATTCCCTCTCAAGGACCCAGCACTCCTTTCGTGAACACTGACCAATGTCTTCTGTGCTAGGACTTTAATCATGATTTCTTTTTTTCTTCTCTGACACATACCTTTAAAGTTTTCCACCATGAGGTGGAGGATGTTAGAAGCCCAGACATCTGTGGTGGTCCGGCATTTGATCTTCATCTCTTTCAAACGTACACGACAGGATATTTTCTCCCCAGACTCTGTACGTGTAGGCAGCAGCGGCTGTGTGGTTTGATTGAGATATGTGACAGTACCACTGGCAATGCTGGACCATTAGATGAGTGTCCTTGGGCTCTACAGGTTTCTTTCATCACTCTTGGGTGGCTGGCTATCCCTGGGTTATGTGGGCCCATCTTGGTTCCATTATTTATGACAATATCAGTCTGACATGAGGTGGCTCTACCTGTAGTATTCAGCCCACAATGCTGAATGTCAGATAAATTTGGAGCGCAGGATGACAGTTGATGACAAAACTCAAAACTCCCTGGACCACGCATAGTGGGGGAAACCAATGGGTTGCAGAGAGGTGAAAACCCCTGTCGTCAACTTTAGCAAACCTGGAAACTAGTTGATTTGCACTGATAATTATTTAGCTGCTAAGTAAAAAAAAAAAAAAAAAAAAATGACTAAGATCCAAGATCAATGTAAACAATGAGATACCAAGATAAATCCTTTTAAACTTCTTCCCACCTTTCATGTGATATTAATCAACTAAAAAACAAACATCTGTTAAGAGGAGAAAATATAAAAACAAAAAATGGGCAATAACCTAGTTGCATGATTCTGTACACTCCTAAAGTTCAGGGACTCTTAGGTTCACCTTAGGCACCAATTACAGGCAAACTGATTAAACTTAGAGAAAGTTCAGCTATTTTAGTAGAATTATTTTGGCATTTATTTATTTGGATCCATGACCTACGTAAAGATTCAAGCCATAGTTATTAGAATAGCTACAAAGGATCTGATTGCACAAAGGTCAGGAGAAAGGCCCAAACACGTAGCATGAAATAAATATTTGTCACTCAAAAATACATCACTGGTGTTATTCTGGTGAAATGCTTTTAATTTGAAGAAATTACCTATTTAACTGCATGACTGTCTAGAAGCAGCCATGCATTCTGCATCTTTAGGGATATTATTGGATGGTCAAGCATCAATGTCCCAAACAAGGAAAATAAATAGGCTGTACAGCAAATAAGTCACTTGTCCCAACTATCTCATAAAGACCTTACTGAACGCATTAGTGTGTTCTATTTATCGTCTTATATATTGATAATAATAATAATATGCTAGGATGTTTGTAAATAAAGGGAAAAATAAGACAAATTTTCAAAAAAAGTCTTCCATATTTCAGTGTATTCTCAGCTTATGTCCAGCCTTGATCAGAACTGAAAGAAAAACTTTTGAATGAGAGGTGAAATGTCTTCAAGAAACAAGGGAAGAAGTCCAGTTGCCTTTTAATTACACACTTATGATAATTAGTTACATTTTATGGTCTCAAATTTTTAAAACCACTATTATTT